ACACACACACACACATATATATATATATATATATATATATATATATATACTTTATTCATATATATAGCATACTTTATTCATTAAATGTGTAAAAGAGAGCCACATAAAATAAAATAATAAAATAAAATAAATGAGCCACTGTTTTTGTGCAGTCATTAAGCTGAGACACCCCAGCGTATTCATTGTAATTGGCAAAACAATTCACTAGATAAATTTATGATCATTTATGGCATTCCTTTGTTGAGTTGATGCAGAATTTATTCAATTCTATCATGTCACAGCTGAAGTCCATTACAGTGAGAATAATTATTTAAATAAAGCATATCATAATATGTAATAATTACACCTAAGTGTGTCAGAAATACGCTTATTATTTGGTATACTGAAAATGATCTGCTATAGTGCTGGAGTTCTAACATTTTTGTGATAAATGACAGAATAGCAACATCTGGTTGAATACGTGAAATAACTGGCAGTGGGGAGTGCCATTAATTTCTTAGTGTCCAGAATGTCATCATAGCCTACGTAAATTGTTTGCATCAGTACCAAGCCTTGGGTAACAGCACATCCTATCTGGGTAAGATGCACCTTGCCTGCATGTTGAGGCATGTTGCAGAGAGTTGCAAAAGGGGAGTGTCATCACAGCATTCCATTCTGCTTGGGTCATAATTCATCTAATGAGGCACTAACGCTCAGGTTACAAACAGATCTTGCCAGAAGAAATCTGAAATATAATACCACAATATAATTATATTAAAAAAGATAGCACCACAATATAATATTTAGGGCGGGGGGTGGGGGGGGTGGGGTCATTAATCAAACAAAGGGAACAGTGACATCATACCAAAGCAAGTCAATTATTCCTCAAACATGAAATGGGCAAGATATAATTTAGATAAGATATCCACTTCAGCCTTGTGGTTTCATTTTTACAAACATTGTTTCCTTTGGCACAAACAGATCATTGTACTGAACATACTGAACAGTTAAAAAAATGAGTCATAATGATGCTGAAAAGGAGCAGATCTTGAATAGCGGTGACAAAGAACAGTGACTGGGTTTGAACAGTAATAAAAATATTACAAAAAAGAAACTTCATAAAATAAAAAATTAAAAAAAATAAATGTATGTTTTTGTGTTTTCATGTTATTAATTTTGTGTGACCGACCCACAAAATAAACATATTTATACAAAATTTGCTCTGTAATTCAGCAATTAAGTATGATGTCAGAGGGACCAGGGTAAGAGCTTGACTAGGTCAAAAATTCCATTAGATGTAATAAAAAATGACCCTAGATGACATTAAAAAGTTTTGAAATTATCTGTAAAATATAACCTCCAGAGTTTTTCTCTTTCATGAGTCACTGTTTTGATGCAGTTATGAAGTCAAGACACCCCAGTGTATTGTAATATAGACCAAACAATTCACTAGTTAAATTTATGATCATTTATGACCTTCTTTTGTTAAAAAATAATTTGTCATGATGCTGAAAAGGAGCAGATCTTGAATAGTGGTGACAAACAAGAGTGACTGTATTTGAACAGTAATAAACATATTACAAAAAAGAAAAATAACAAAATAACAAATAACAAAAAAAAGTATGTTGCTGGGTTTTTTATGTTATTCATTTCATTTGATCGACCCACAAAAGATACATTTTATAAAAATTTGCTCTGTAATTCAGCAATTAAGTATGATGTCAGAGGGACCAGGGCAAGAGCTTGACTAGGTCAAAAATCCCAGTAAATGTAATAAAAAATGACCCTAGATGACATTAAAATGCCCCACTGTAATAATTTTTGGTGTAGTTGGTGATGTTGTTTTATAGGTAACAGTCATAATTGTTCAGATTTAAAATTCTTCTCATAATTTCAGATATATTAACTATATGTGTGAGATATATTGGTATATGTGTGTTTCTGTGTGATTAAAAGTACTCTCATAAGATAAAACATGTCCCTCAAATCATTCCCAGAGGGCCAATACTGCCCCTTACTACTACTACTACTACTACTACTACTAATAAAATATTTTTCAGACACTGGTATGAACACTGTAAAGGGAAACTGGGCTGAGAGCAATTTACCTAAAAAGCACAAGCTTGCTTCAAGTATCTGCTCTGTGACTGTAAAATATTTGCGCCCAAAATATACCAGATTGCAGGTCTACAGTGAACTGCCCAACAGTTTGTGGGTTTCAAAAACGAGAAGGAAAGTCATGAATCAAGATTTCACTGCCTGACACCATTTAGCTGAATCATTTTCCTATTTACTGCTGTAGGGAAGTGGTGAGAAGCGGTGAAATTTGTTTCATGACCCTTCATCCATTCATGGCATTCATTCACTGCATGGTGCTTTAATGTGGTCCCTCCACTGAAACCGTGTACACACGACTTCACTTGTAGAAGACCAGCCACTCTTATTTACTCATCGGAAGAGTATGTGAATTGGTTGGCGTGTCCACACACTGCTTACTAAGTGTTAACATAAACCCGCGTTTAAGTACAGAAAAACAATGACCTGTACACTTTTCCCGAAGAAATAGCTACATAATAACGAAAGCTGCTGTAAAAAGCTCAAGTTTCGATTTAGAATTGTCTTTCTTGTGAGAGCGCCTATCACGATCTCAAACAGAAGGAGTTCCCGGAAAAACCCATTTATGGTCATATACGTAATCTTCCATGTGACCAAACGTCATCCACAAGACAGGCAGCACCATTTCCCGTAAGATGGGAGGGGCGAAAACTGTACAGTTATTGCTCACTTATTTATATTCTGGTGAACACTCGGAACCACCAGTCTGGCAGAAAAACAGAATTGTATTATACATACCATAAAACGTTATTTTTTTACATTTATTCTACCTCTTTCAGCAATATGAACATTTTAAACGTTGACAGAGATTTCTAGACTCCCCCAGGCGTATCGTGGTGGATTCTACCGCTTTCCCGCAATAAGGTGGATATTTAACTTGCTTTTGAATTTCGCGTGAACTGTCAGTGATATAAGTAGGAGGAACCTTTTTGGGAAAGCAGACCCAGAAACGTAGGCAGCGACACAGAGTTCACAGAGTTAGTCAACAGTTTCCTTTGGATTACTGAAGAGTCACCGGCATACATGTACAACTACGGAAACCTGGGCAGTGGAATCGATCGGACCTTCCCAGATAACAGCTCTGGATCAGGCTCGAGCTCTGCGACTCTCGCTACAACTACTGCCACAACTCAACAACAACAGGTAAGTTAAGCGTCTTTCTCTCATATCTAATAAGGTCATATGTTATACTCTTCATAGAATTTAAGATTTCAATACAGTTTTAATGAACATTTCACCAACTATGAATAATAAATGACAAACAAGTAGCATTTTATAACTCTAAATATGAACTTTAACTAACATATCACTATGCTTAAAATGCTCAACATATCATTTATTTAGAAATGAGTTGTAATTCATATTCTGACATGTCTTAACATTGCATTATTTATCTAGAAACTTAATATAACATCTAAGTAACCTAAGAAAAAACCTGTGTGTTTTAAATGTCTTCTCTGTTGACCCACAGAGTACATTTAGGAACCCCTGTTTAGGATTAATGACCAAATAAATATAGCCAAAACAGAGCCCAGAGCAGACAGTAATAAAGTAATAATAATAATAATAATAAAATATTTAATGATTCAGGTTGGTGTTTATATCTGGGTGTTTCTGCAAACACAACAATGGGGTTTTGAGTCATAATGAGATATAATAAAGCCTCCTCCCTAAATATCTAATGCCACTGCCTTGGTAACTTATGATATATTGTCTGTGTCTCTTGTACTTTGAAGCAGAAATATTCTGTGGCAGGATCCAGTCAGTTTGTGCCCAGTCTCAATGCCATAACTTCAAACCAGGACCTTCAATGGATGCTTCAGCCCTCTGTTCTAGGCACCCCGGGACATTCCAGGGCACTTCGACCATCTTACTCACTGCCACCAAGAATCCCATATATGAATCCTCAACTTTCCCAATCACACATGCCCCGGCCAGGTGTTATTAGAGCAGCTACAGTCGTTGGCAGCTCAACAAGAAGCAGAAATGATGAACATGTGAGTCCAATTTAATAGCTGTCAGTCTGTTTATGTGATGAGGCGTTGATGAGTCATGACGGGAGACCGTGACAGCATGGTTTGTCACTATGTTCACCTGTCATCCTGTCCATTTTTGCCGGTGGTCTTGGCCAAAACCAAAACCAGCCATGCATGTTATTCATGCATGACCCAAATCAAAGTGTGCTAGACCCAGAATGTGTAATATCCTGTTGTGAGTGACATAGCTGTACGCGTGAACGTGATTGCTGATACATACAGGGTGTGAATCTCATTTGTGCTTATTTAAGAGTTTGAACTATATGTTCAGCTGTAAACGTTAATTTTGTATGTAAGACTCTCATGTTATGATTTTATTGTGTGCTATTTACAAGACAGCATCTACCCCAGAGGAAACCCAGAGATGCTCATTCAATATTAACTCATGAAATCCTGCCTGACTCATGCATCCAAGTCTTGAGTACAGCAGGGTGAGAGTGAAATAATGAGACAGGAAATGGGATATCATGTGATTCACTGGAGTAAAATATTATGACTCATACTTGAGTCACTAGGGTGTTTGCAGGTGATTCATCAATATAAGGTCAGGAAACTGCATATGATGCCCACAAAAGAAAGAGAGCGTGAAATGAATTAACACAATATATTATCGGATTCATAATAGAGTAATTACAGAGATGAAAATTGCAACATTGCCTCAAAGTAGTCGGTGAATTTTAAATGAAATTAAAAATCTCATCCCCTAGATGGCAGTGTTTTCACATGTTTATAACTATAAAAATTAAGTTGACCAATTAGGTTCCGATTGTTCCAATTAGACATAAGGTTTTATAATTGTAATTATTTTGTAATTTATATTTTTTATTTTATTCATTACTATTATCTTTTTTTTTGTTACTTTTTAAATATTTTATTACAGATGCATACAATGTCCACCTACTGCATGAATATTATTATATTATATTATATTAATTATATTTGCTTTACTTTCTCACTCCAGCTATCCCCTGAGGAACTTGAGCGGCGTAAAATTAGAAGGGAACGTAACAAAATGGCTGCGGCAAAGTGCAGGAATCGTCGACGTGAACTGACTGACACATTACAAAATGTAAGTTAATTTTTCGTGTTTCCTTTCAGTCGAAATGTCTTTGCATTACTTGGACCCGAATTGAACGTTTGAACTCTTTCTTTTCTCAGCAAACTGACCAGCTAGAGGATGAAAAATCACGTCTGCAGAAGGAGATCGCTGAGCTTCAGAAGCAAAAAGAGAAGTTTGAGTTGGTCTTTGAAGCCCATAGACCCATCTGCAAAGTCCAGGACTCGGACTCAGACTCTGACTCCAACAGTGACCTCCCGACACTGAGTGGAATCAAGATTGAGTCTGTGGACCCTGATCTTCCTGGACCCTCCAGAGAATTAAAGAGTCACGCCAAGCCTAATAAACCCAAGCCCAAAATTACCATACCACCTCCAGCTTCAGCCTCCACTGGTACCAGCGTACCTCTGGAATCAGAGTCTCTTCATACTCCTGTCCTCATTTCCACTCCATCTCTGACCCCTTTTACTGCCAGCCTGGTCTTTAGCTACCCCTCTTCTTTACAGGATACCAGCTCTGCGACTTCATCCCAAGCTCTCGATCTCACCAGCTCTCATAGTACCAGCCAGTCTTCTCATAACCCTCAGCCGTGTGGCGTCGCTCATCGCCGCAGCAGCAGCAGTGGAGATCAGTCAGATCACTCTCTCAATTCACCAACCATCCTCAGCCTTTAATTTCTCATCTGCTGAGGGAAAAAGTGTTTCCAAAAGTGTCCTTACTACTACTACATACAAGCATATATGCTTTTACCTGTGTATTCTGTTTACCTTTATTCATGGCAATTATCAAGTAACTTGAATGCACTATAAGAATACAGAAGCACAAGTTAATGGTGATGTGTGTAACCTCAACATAGTAAGGAGACCCACCTATGCCATTCGTAGGCTGATTAGTAATACTGGATAAACCAAGAGCGTGCATTTGGAGGTACTATCTGTTTGTTCAACCAATAACATTTGGAGTAAGTGTTCAGGAAAAGGTATTTTTGCATTTCGTTTGGCGACGTTAGTGACATAGAAATTGCACACTTCACCTTTAAGGATGTGTAGTGCAAAATGAAAGATATGATCATCCTACATATGAAGTAGACTGAATTTTTTACAGGACATATGTATATAACACTGAAAAGAAAACTGACTGACTTTTAAGCCGTAACGTTTGACTAGTGGCATTAATAATAGTATTATTGATTTATAGTAATTTACTTCAACTACATATTTAGTGTATTGGTGATGGTACTGTAGCAGTTAAAAACTGGCCTGCTAGCAAAAAGTTTAGAGGTTGCTTTGGGGGTTTGAGAGTAAGAGCACAGTGTAGATCTATCATCATGATGCCTTTCAGGAAGGAATGTCAGTTACTTCAGGAAAGCAATTTTTAAAGAGTGTCTATTACGTTATTTATTATTACGTTACCAATTTTAGAAATGTTAAGGTCTCAATTGAAATGTGGATTTGGATTTGTATCGGTTATACTGTCTTGCTATGCACATGTTTGTGGATTTACACAATGTAATGTCTTGTTATTTTATGTTTAATCTTGGTTTTAAGAAATGCAGCATTATAATAACAGTGTATGCTGAATAAGCTAGTTTTAAAGAAACTGAAGTGATGCAGCCTACCTGGTTCAATGTCTGCAACACCACTCAACTCAACACTGAGAATGTGCACTTCAATGACAGTTCACTGTTACACTGGTTACAAAAATTACATTTTAACTTCATGAAACACTTCAACTGTTACTATAGAGGATGTTTTCTCGACAAGTGCAAAGGTGTGTGATTCACAGGCCAGTAGAAGTAAATTATATATAATTTATACTGTACTGAGTACACTATATGTTAGACTCTACTATTGCTTGACCACATATAGATTTGTATTTATTTTTGAAAACGATATTTTTTACTGATTTGATGTTGGTTCCTTTAATAAGGAGAAATGTTGCATGCTATTTAACATCCAATAAACAATTACTGACAATATGTGCTGCTATTTGGAATACAAAACAATTTTATGACCCTGAGCTGTTTTGTAACATACTAGAGTGCCTTAAACTGAGGACTTCTATTTAATTCTATACTGTATGAAAAATGTAAGTTGAAGCTGATTTGTAGCCCCCTTAAGAGACTCTGTTTGTAGCTGTAATTTTATTGCAGGGGGTACATAGATAAATAATATGGCAATGAAGTAAATGTTTAGCAAGATACATCATAGAAAAAGAGTCTCTCACAGCACACGGATACAAGGAGGGGTTGAGCACACAGTTTCCTCCTAGGATGTCCTGATGACAAAAATGTTCAATGAGTCACAAACACATTTGCCTCTGAACTGAAACCAGTTGTTAAACACCTTCCTCTAACAGTGTTGATCTTTAATTGTTGTACGACGAATTCAAACAAATAAAGTTCTGCTCAGGATAAACATGTTTTTGGTCATCTGTCTGTGTTCATGGGAAAAATTCACATGGTGAGAGACATGCTCTGTATGACAAGCATGTGAGAATATGTATAAAAAGATCCTTATCACTTCATAGCCTGTGGTTACAATTAACAATGAACAGCCTTGAGGAACAAAAGTGATAAAGTGAAAGAGCACGTAAGTTAAGAGGCCAAGACATCTTGAATATACAGAGAGCAAATTAAATAAACATGGTGACCCTATTTCCTCCACACTGTGCCCTCTGTTATCGCTCTGATTTGAAGTGAGTCACTTAGAGAGGACATGAGAACATATGATAGAGATAATGAAGAGGGTGTTTGTGCTGAATGAACCGGCGAGCACATGTTTTGCTGAAAGGACCTCTGTATGCCAGTCACAGTGAACGTTTTAATGTTCTGGCTGTGTAAACAGCATGCCAAAAATAAACCAGTGAAGCATCAAGAAATTAGGGCCTGAGCTACAGCATGACTAAGACCTAATCAAGACTGGGAAATTTTTATCCATGTTATCCAGTCCTTTGCGAGCTATAATATATACTTTAACCCTGCAAAGCCTGACATATGAAATGATTGTCAGATTTTTTTTTTTTAATGATATGTTCTAAGAAATTTTTGCTAAGTTTCCCAGTAAGTTATGATAACATTTTTTTTCTGAATGTTCTCTGAAACATAAAATGTTCATGGTTATACAAATGTTTAGGGTACATTTCATTTTATTATTTTGCAAACATTACTTTTGAATGTTCTCTGAACATGTGACAACAGTTTTGGTTGTTTATTTAACAGGGACAATGCAGAATAACATTGCAGATGCTCTACATACAGGCTACTAGCCAATGGCTAATTAGCAGCCCCAGTCCAGATAACTTTGAATAAACATTCTATTAACATTATTTAAAGAAAGTTGCAGTTTTGCCTTATACAACATTAGGAAGATCAGACCCTTCCTATCAGTCTCTCCAGACTGGACGATTGTAATGCTCTCTTGGCGGGCCTTCTGACATGTATTATCAAGCCTCTGTAACTGATCCAGAATGCAGAAGCAAGAGTGGTCTTCAACGAGCCAAAGAAAGCCCACGTCACACCTCTCTTCATCAGTTTGCACTGGCTGCCAATAGCCGCTCGCATCAAATTCAAGGTACTGATGTTTGCCTGCAAGACAACCACTGGCTCTGCACCAATATACCTAAACTTGCTAGTCCAGAAGCTTGCGTTCTGCAAGTGAACGACACCCAAAGAGGCACAATATCACTCTCACAGACCTTTTCCTGGACTGTTCCCAGCTGATGGAACAACCTGCCTATCTCAATTCAAGCAGCTGGGTCTTTAGCCATTTTCAAAAAACATCTAAAGACACATCTTTTTCGTCAAAACCTGACCAATTAATACTAGCACTAACCTATTCTATTTATTCTTTTTTACATTCTATTCTTTTTACAGCACTTGTATACTGTTGCCCTCTTGTTGGTCTGATTGCTTCTATTGTTCTCCTCATTTATAAGTCGCTTTGGATAAAAGCGTCTGCTAAATGATTAAATGTAAATATAAACGTAAGCGAAAGTTTGAGCAGAACTTTGGTAGAATCTTGCAAGAAAGTTAACCAAAGTTCTGAGAACATTCCCTGTTAGCTGGGATATTGAGCATCATATGTTGTACATCAGGGTTTTATGCATATGAAGTGAAGTGAAGTGAAGTGAAGTGACGTTACATGTGGCCAAGTATGGTGACCCATACTCAGAATTAGTGCTCTGCATTTACCCATCCAAAGTGCACACACACAGCAGTGAACACACACACAGCAGTGAACACACACACACCGTGAACACACACTCGGAGCAGTGGGCAGCCATTTATGCTGCGGCGCCCGGGGAGCAGTTGGGGGTTTGGTGCCTTGCTCAAGGGCACCTCAGTCGTGGTATTGAAGGTGGGAGAGAGTGCTATAGAATGACATAAGAGAATATGGGGCTCATACTCGAGGACTTTTATTCAGAGGCCCAAACAGAGCAAAAAGTATGAAATTTAATGCAGTTGTTTATATTTTTATGGCCAAAAAGTATGACGAAATTCTGATAGCTTGTAATGCAAATCAATGAGATCATATAAATATAAATATCAGTTGTCACTCTATATCTCCCAATAATGTCTCTAAAATTAAAATAGTTGTATGATCAAAGCTCTGTAGTTTTCATTGCGCAACACAATACAATGATGATTGAGAGATATACAAATAAATGTTCCTCAAAAGCCATTAAACATTTCACAGCAAAAAGACACATGTACCCCGACCTGAAGGGGGATGCTTTTAGAATAAGCCTTTTGCTTGCTAGAAAGAATTAACTATCAACATTTATTTTTTTTTATATATTTTCATGCACAGTGAAAGTATGAGGAAAAAAGACAAGAACAGAACATGATGTGTCAGTCAAGTGTATTTAAAGCTATCTCACTCACAATGAGTATAGCCTGAAACAAAGCAAATGCTAACCAATCAGAGAGCTGGGTCTTGTAGCTATAAAACTTCAGTCATTTAAATAATACTGATCATATATCTGGATTAAAAACATGTACAACAGAACAATCCCATGTAGGAGGCTCTTGTAGTATGCAGCAAATACAACAAAATAATAACAATATCTAGCACAATAATGTTAAAACTACATGTCAATGTTTTCTCCTCCAAACAGTGTCAATTCAGTGTGTATTAATTAAATCTTGTCAAAGCAACAACTGAACACAAAAAGCTTTGTACAGTACAGCTGTGTAATTAAAGTGGGGTTAATGCAAACGAAAGTTCATTTTGGATTCAGTGCAGAGCACAGCAACATTGTTTAGTGGAGCACACGTCACTACATCTAGTGAATTATACTGTCCAGTTCAAAATAAACAGGAAAAAACAATCTCATACTATAGAAAAGTGGTCTAGTAACGTGCATTTCCAGTGAATCATTCTTGGGCCTCCGTGATATAGTCATATTACGTCACAAAAAATCTGATCTGCTTACAATGGAGGCTTCGCTTTGCACAATCCTTTGATACTTCCATTTCCTCTCCATTGCTGAAACAGATTCAGTGCTTTTTGTAAATGATCTTAAACAGATCACTACATAGTATATGGCTGTAATCAGTAAAAATGTGAATCTCTAAAGATTCAAGATTCATTGCAGCCCTGTCAGAGTGCATCGTAGGAGAAACACCAGCCCGTGAACATCAGTGCACAGTAAAACCTGGTACAAGTTAGCAGTATGGTTAGTTTCTCTCTATGCTGTTGAAAATGTCAACCCCAAAACTACATTTCTGCCCCTATCTACAACTCCTATAAGACATGACAGGAAACATTCCTGCAACAATTGGAAAATCATACATTCAAATAATGCTACTAATACAATAAATAGGTCTGCTGGAAAATCTGAAGCTTTTGGAACATGGTGGATGGTTTCTAGAAAGTTCAAGCTGGAAGGCCATCTTAGACCTGTTGGTCATATCATTTTCGACTAGCATGCACCAGGTAGAAACCAGCCACCATGTTCCAAAAACAAAGCTACCAGCTTAAAAAGAAAGTAAATCAAAATGATTCATTCACATTTGTTGCACACCTGTGTGACTTTCTTCTGCAGAACACAAAAGAAGATATTCTGAAAAATGCCTCACCTGGGATCACCCCTCCCCCCATTTTTTTTGTTTTTTTGTTAGTTGAACAACTTTAACCTAAAATATTTACTTGAAATACCCCCTTAGTTAATATTTTAATAATTTAACAGTTAATTCTCATGATGTTCAAGGTTCTCTGATACCAGTTAATGGTCAGCATGACATGCAGGTAAGCAAATAAAATATTTCATCTTTGTTGGTAGGTGTTATTTAGTTTTATTTTTTTTTATTTTAAATTTTATTTTAATGTTGCAATTTTATTATTTAATTAATTATTAGCTTTTCATCCACTAACAAACTCCTTGCAGTTCCCTTAAAACCCCCCGGGGGTTAACGAACCCCTGTTTGCAATACACTTATTCAGAGGTTAAAAGTCAATGGAGTCCAACTCTGTTTTGGAAACCACTGACTTTTAATGTATGGATAAAAACAGTTATTCAAAATAAAGATTCTTCAAAATATCTCATTTTGTGCTCCACAGCAGAAAGCATAGAGGCTTGGAAAGACATCAAGGGGAGTAAATGATGACAAACCTTTCATTTCTGTGTGAACTATACCCTTTAAGCTGGATTTCCCAGCAGGAGGACTGATTTTGAAAGGAAAGGCTGTCACTTTAAAAGTTTAAAAATAATTCTGTTTTGCCTGGCACCCAAGAATTTCACTCAAGTGTTAAAGGTCTGCCAACTATAAAATGTTAATCAATGAAATATACAGAAACTGTATTTATGGCATCAAAAGGCCATGAGTAAACTAGCCTACTTTAGAGTCTATTTCCACCAAAATAGCTGAGATGTCATTGTCAGAAAATGTAAACTACTTTAGTAGACATAAAAAGTCTGTCTCAGCATCAAGAGAGAAGGGTAAAGTAATATGGCTCAGCTCCTCTCCTTCAGTCATCTGGTGAACACACTAAGTGCAGCTGGTCTGGACTGCCAACACTCCCAGTGCTGGAGCTCCCGTCACCCACGTCCCGGGCCACCATACACGGTATGTTGAGATCCGTGGAGCCACCCGGGCTGGAGTCACTTCTGCTCACGCACTCTTCCTCGAGCACCAAACAAAGTTCCTTCAGATCCAGATTCTCCTTCACCAGACCGTCCTGCATCCGCTCCAGGTCGGCGAGCTTCTTGAGGTATCCGCCGAGGTCCTCGCGCATCACTTTAGCAGCGTGATGGCCGAATAGTTGCCACTCACGGGCGAGCTTCTTCACTTTCAGACGGTCGTCGTCCAGAAAGCAGCATAAATCCCGAAGTTCCTGGTTCTCCTCTTGCAGCCTCTGGTTGATGACTTTGAGTTCCCTGATTTCAAGCAGATGTCCCTGCAGTTGTTTATTGACC